GTAACCTGCGACCAGGCGTTCTTTTATTCTAATCTTCCGCTGCCGCGAAGAAAATTGAAACGCCTGAATGTAAGTGTTTCGCGTCGTTCTGTGATTGGCTCAAAAGCCTCGCATGACACTCTTTGTAGCCAATCATTGAGGGGAAACATGCTGTTTGTTTTTTGTTTGTTTTGGTCAGGCTGTTGATTAGGAGAAAACCGACATCAATCCTGATTGAATGAGACGTTAGCACGTTTTTCCGCGTTAGCCTTTGTTGCCCACTACAGAGATCAGGTTTTAGTAATCAGTGGAATCGTGATGAAAGCGAGTTATATACTGACAATATTCCCAGATTTTCATTGTTTGTATTTGCGATTCATCTGTAAAATGATTGTTGTATTGTAATCTTTAAATTTGTAAATAAGTAAGAATCTCCAAAACATTGTGTGACGTTTGCGTGACACGTGCGTGACCCAGCATCTTTAGACAGTGCTACAAGGTAGTTATCAATCAATGTACGTGAATGTCATTACAGTCGAAGTCTTTGGCGAAGAAGCTATGCCTTTACACTGCCTTTTTTTCTCCTAAAGAGAAAATCCGCAGCGTTCCTCACATATTTATCATATGGGAACAGGAAGAACCTGTCTATGCTGGTAGCAACCTTGAACTGCACTGTATTGTACTCACAAAGGATCCCGATACTAGATATCGTTGGTATTACCGTGATTCTGACGTCCCGGATGACAAGAAGTTAGGCACTCTCATAAACCAGAGCCTGTACGAACTAACGCAGCGTCAAAACGGCGACCAAAATGGCCAAAATGGCCAACGTTGGCCAAAATGGGAGCTAAAACTGAAGTTGAAAAACGTGTCTGCGGCTGATTCCGGACAGTATGCATGTCAAGCTGAAAACGTTGTTGGTAATGATACACGGTTCACCCACCTCAATGTCACAATCAGACCCATTACCCCGTCAGCAACAGGTATGTAAAGGAAAGTGTTTGACCGACGAGAATAAGCAATACTTTAGCCATAGTGCTCTACCGTAAGATCTCCTCGACGCAGTCCAATAGAAATCAATGCCAGCGGCTGACCTGTGAAATGCCGGACAAGTTGAGATGAGCCGGCCACGAAAACGCTGGCCGATCTCAGTACGTCAATAACTCATTAAGCGTGCGCAATTTACAACATTCACCAAGAGATTTTCCAAACTGTTCAAATAGAATTCTTATTTGTTGAGTAAGGTCGGACTAAACTAAGAAATATTTGAGTCGATGACATTTCCCACCGACTTTGCAACCAAATGTCCATCCAACCAAATGTTTTTCTTCTGGACTTAGTACTAAGTCAATAAGCTAGGGTTTAGGAAAACCCCGCCTTACGAGCAACTTAAGAAAGATCAGTCATTGACTTTACGTAAGTATTCTTGCGGATAAAGGACTGTGCAACAATTACCAGGAGGGGGGCTGTAAAACCAGAAAGGGGGGGGGCACACCAAGTAAACTCATACCCTAAGGGAAAGGGGAGTAACGGTTACATGTAAACGTCTCTTTGAAAAGCAGGGTGGTGGTATCTCATTTTCTTATGGGCAAGATGACTTAAAGATTCGAATACCACTTATGTCTGACTAACAATGATACTCATTTATTTCTTGAACTGTCTATAAAAGACAGGAATTGCACCGAGCTAAAATGCACTCCGGTTAGCCTAAACACCACTTTGGTTAGCCTAACCAACACCACAGGTAACCTATATGGCAACATTGTTTGCCGGTGAAGCGCTCTGGTTAGCCTCCAGTGGCTTTGAGTCAGCGTTAGCTAAAATTAGAGCTTACTTGGGAATGGTTACTTGTAGGTCTTTGATAGGGTTGCAGTTCCCGTATTTAGCTGCATGTTTAACTGAATGTATTTAGCGGCCAGTTTTTCGTGACGTTTTTGTTGAATAGTTTCCTATACAATTTATATATTGAAGATTGTCAGAATTGCGATGATTAGGGACGCGAGAGCAGTGTAAGGGGATCTGCAGGATTTAGCAGATTGATTGATGATCGATCCATTGATTGATTGATTGATTGATTGATTGATTGATTGATTGATTGATTGATTTTGCTAACTGGCTGATGATTGGTTAATTGAATGATTGATGATTAATTGATTGATTGATTAGACTGACTAATGATTTATTGATTGTTATGAATGACCTATGACTGATTGAATGACCGACCGACCGACCGACCGACCGATCGATCGATCGATCCATTTATTAATTCGCAGTTTTGAATAGATAAAGTGTCTGCCTCTATTTAACAAGTTTGTTTTCATATTTTTCTCAGGTGCGCCAGTGATCACCACTCTGGTAGATACGCGTACCCCTGCCTCAGAACATGCGCAGTCAGATCCACCTTTATTAACACCGCTGGAGATCGGCCTGTTTGTCGCGGGCGCCGTCATCATGATAGTGCTGATCGTCGCTGTCCTTTGCGTCTGTATACACGTGAAGAACCGTAGGAAGAGTATGAAGCTACCGGACGCTAAATACGACGTTGCTAGGGAAAGTGTTGTCATTGAACCACAAAGTTTCTCCCGAAGGACGGCATCTGTGTCCTCGACTGGATCAGCGGCAGCTTTGTTCATGCGACAGAGGAGTATTCGTGGTCGCCTGGAGTCGAGGCTAACACAGGTAAGGACTGGTGATGAACAATTTAAATAGCTCATAGGTAACGCTGTGTTGTTTTGGGTTAAAGGATGAGTTAAAGGACGAGTTTGGAATGGGTGTTTAAATTAGAATAATTCCATTGAATGGTGTAAAATTAGAACTTGAATGTTAATCATGTGACGGACCGTAGAAAATGCTGCAAGTGCACGTGAAAGAAGGAACCGATCAGATATTTAAGCAAACACCAACAAGTCAAACATGTTTATGATTGTTATCTTGCCTGTCTCACACTCATGTGACTCTCTTTAGGTGTCGGAAATCGAGGTGCCATATGACGAGGCTTGGGAGCTGGATAGAAGCCAGTTGGTTTTCTCTGAGATACTGGGCGAGGGAGCGTTTGGCCGAGTTCTTAAAGCAGAAGCTCTTGGTCTGGGTTTCACGGTAGCTGTCAAGATGCTAAAAGGTGAATAAAGTGACCAGTAGACCTAGTAATCTGGCATTCCCTTCCGCTAATTCTCAACCGACTAACTGAGGGACTAACTCTTTCCCGGGATCTTGCTCAGAATAAGCGCTCGCCGAGGAGAGAACCATCTTAGTTTCCAAGACTGCACGTGGTTTCAAAACAGATCCATTTTAGTTTTGTTACATGGCTGCTTATCGTTGTCATATCTTTATTTTCCGAGTTTACGCTCATTTCCCTTCTTTCCTTTCTCCTCTGCATGTATACATTTTCCTTTCAACATGGTACGACCACTTAGCTAAGAGTAGCTTGTTGTATTTAAGGCATTAATTACAGTAACGGAATTTCTGCGTTATACGGGTCTGGATTTAGTTCTTATCAAAGACTGGGTGAGAGCACGATCCGGCAAGGCTTTGAAACACGACCGAAGAAATACCATACTCCTGTTTACTTTAAGAGTCTTGTTCAATTCAAAGGTTCCTTTTTAAACTTCATCAGTGTTACCCGTAGAATGTAAAGGTGCCTTCACGTTCGTGATTCACAAAGATGGCCTTCGCCACTATTTCCTTCTGAAGCAAGGCAATTTCAAGTAATAGGGCTTCTTCGAGATCCAAATCCAAGATGGCGGTTACTTCGCTAGTTAGTGTTACTGTCTTGAAATGAAAGTACTCATTTGAGGTTAAGCACACGATCATGCTATCAATTTCATTGTAACTTATCGTTGCAATTTGCAGAGGATGCAACAGATCAAGAATTAATGGATTTGGTGTCAGAGATGAAGGTGATGAAAACAATAGGAAAACACAAGAACATCATTAATTTATTGGGAGTCTGCACTCAGGAAGGTAATGTTCCTCCATCTCCTGCGATACAAGGTTCCTTTGAACCATTTATGGGCTATATAGATTTCTGTGGTCGTCTTTTATTCGTTAATTAAGCCCGCACCATTTTGAATGTCTGGAACCGAAACACCTTTGGCAAATGGACAGGAACATGTGACCGGAAGTTCTGAACATTGCTCAGTCCCAGACCTTGCATTACAGACTCCGAATGAAACAAGATAGATGCGGCTTGGCAAACAAAAACAAACAAAATACATAGTACAAAATACACGATACAAAACAGTACCGACTTTACCTTTAAAAAGAAGCAGCGTGGAGGGGTTAGGAATTGTAGTTCGAAGCAGGTTTCCGTAGGCAATAGACAAGTTTGACTTGTCGGAATAGGAGGTACTGATGAAAGCTATTGTTGGTGGGCGAATTATGTTACAGTTTTCACCTCACGTTAGCTATGGCTGGGGCGGATCTAGGGGGGGGGGGGGGGGGGGGGGCTCGGTCGAACCCCCTAATTAAAAAATTGACANGAGCAAAGAAAATTTACGTTGGCAGTTGAAATAAACGAATGATTTTCCCTTCTTTTTAACCATACACTGGCGGGGGATTCGGTCGAACCCGGTCGAACCCCCTTACTTAAAAAAGAAAATTGAGACGTTATAACTAGCTGACTTGGCCTCAAAATGCCGGAAATCCCTTTTATCCGAGGACATCAAATTTAAAAATTTTCTGCGTGAGGATGCTCCAAGAGCCCCTACAGAGGGCCTCCTTCGGCAGTCCGTACCTCGAACCCTCTTCTTTAAAATCCTCTATCCGCCTCAGTTATGGTATTTAGTAAAACTTTGAAACCCGCACTTCAGTAATAATGATAATCGCGAAAATTATTACTCTCGGGCATACAGCTTTTCATTTTAGTTTTCTCTTGCTGGTGAATTTGGAAAGGAAAACCTGCCCTTTTTTGCAGGCTTTGTGTCATTCTTCCCTCTTGTTTTCAGGCCCCTTGTTTGTTGTGGTAGAATACGCGGCCCTTGGCAACCTGCGTCAGTTCCTACAAGAAAGAAGACCTGGGTTAGAATATCATGATGGCGTTGATGCCCAGTCTCCGAAGCAACTCACTGTTCAAGATCTGCTATCTTTCTGTTATCAAGTAGCAAAGGGAATGGAATTCCTCTCATCAAGGAAGGTAAATACTTCACTTATTCAACACTGTGCAAATCCTTTCAATGTATATGCGAGTTACAGTGTCTCTTATTTATACTCCCCTGCCTGCACTCGGTAACAAGAGCCGTCTCTGGCAAACCTTCGTTGAAGCACTAGTAAATTTCCGATTTTTATCGCCCAGTCTAACGGTAGCAAAAGTGTTCAAAGCTACTTTGCAAATTGTCACGTGTGCGAACGAAGACGTATTTCCGGCTACAAGCGCCAACCGGAAATACGTCTGTGTTCACAGGCTACGTCATCATGGACTGATCAGTAGCTTAGCTGCGTCGGAGAAGAAGCTGTGAGCTCGATCCGGTTGAGAAGACCGCAATTTGTCAAGTTTATAACAGCAAAAATAGAGTTGGAAAGAGAAGAAAAAAAAAGGCAGATAGCTGGGAACCCTATGAAGAAACCAGCCGGTTTATGGTTTCTTTTGATTACATAGATTGAGTTAACCTTGAATTTGATACGTTAGACCTTTGTGTAAAAGCTTGATCGATCGCATTGGTAAATAAGGTCCGTTTATTATTAGGTAATTTAATATAGGAAGTAATTGTACTTTTATAACTTCACAAAAAAGAAGAAGTGAAGGAGACTTTATACATATTCTACCAGACCAAATCCCTGAGAAGTGACTGTTTCTGCTAGTTCTTAACTTGGAACTTCTGGGAGAATGTGGGAAGAGTTATGAGAGTATACTTTGCAGAATTATTAGCTAGAGAAATGATGTCTATTATGTCTGTTATTCGACAGTGCATTCATCGAGATCTGGCAGCTCGAAATATTCTGGTGGCTAAAGATAGGGTCATGAAGATTGCTGATTTCGGTCTTGCAAGGAACGTGCATGAAGACGATTATTACAGAAAAACAACAGACGTAAGTAAAATAACACATTTATTAATCAGAATAATGTGAAAATAATTCCCCCGTCGCAGCCAAGTGATCTGAGGTGAAAATAGACGAACTTTCCTTTTGAGGATAGGATGCTAGTCTATTACCGTTAAACCCACCCCCCACCCCCACCGTTTTATTTATACACCCAAGTGGAGAGGTCAAGGGGCTCTGTGAGAGCAGAGTGTCTTGCGCAAGAACATAACAAAATAACCCTGACTAGGATGGGATTCAGTCCTCTGGATTTGGTGTTAAACCATGACCGGAAAGCAGCTCCTGGTTTTGAGATTTCATGTTTCATAGCTCTCTTGTTTTTCCTCTCTCCTTTGCTCAGGGAAGACTTCCAGTGAAGTGGATGGCGCTTGAGGCATTGATTGACAGAGTCTACACCACCCAAAGTGACGTGTGAGTGTAGGGTGCCGTGTTGTATGATTCCCTCTATATCTCCCGTTGTGTTGTCCAATTAAACTGTTTTATATGCATTTCTGATGCACATCAGGAGCAGTTCAGTGCTTGATGTAATATATCAAACACGAGAGACTGTGTTTCATTGGGATATCCAAGCACCGAGAAGAGAGTTGAAAATACGACGCGTAGCGCAGAGTATTTTTGACGAAATTCGAGGTGTTTGGATAGCCGATGAAACACTGTCTCGAGTGTTTGATATGTCTTCTCAATCGAAACAGAATAAAGTCGTCAAAATTTATGCTAATTACGACCGGGTATCCAAACCTCCTTCACGGTTGTGATTTTCTTTGGTTTACCTTGATGAATTATTAATGAGTTTGAGACATATTAATCCCGAGCCTTAGTTTTTTGGAAATGTTCATTATGATAAGTGAAGAACCCTTATACGAGATGGTTTTACTGAGAGATTGTCTCTCCCAATTAACGCTCTTGAATCCGCCCTGTATCTTGAACACACTTCCTTCTTTCTTTGGATATTTTTAACTTTGCTATTTCCTTTTGTTTATTTAGGTGGTCGTTTGGAGTGTTGACGTGGGAAATTGTAACATTTGGTGAGTGACCAGTATATTTATTTTTATGGTTAAAAAAGTCATGCAACATGTTCTACCAATATTGCCATTGTGCTGGTGTCAGTTTAAACGTCAATACGTTTCGTGGAGTGATCTTTCATTACCCTCTTTTATGATTTTAAGGTGGCTCTCCATATCCCGGCATACCAGTGGAAAATCTCTATGGGCTGCTCAAGTCCGGTTATAGGATGAAACGACCAATCAATTGCGACAGAGAATTGTAAGTTACATTACTATCCCCCAGTAGCTGGTTAAACTTTCTTTGAAAACAACTTACAAAATGATAGGCTGGATATGACAGTGAACGTGTTGGCGAAATGTACTGATGATGTGGAGTGAAGTTGCTTTCTGCAGGAGTGATTCGAGAGCAGGGTCGGCATCGCGACCTCTCGCCTCATTGTGTTACAGTGCGTATGGAAGTTTGCTTTTTTCAAACAATTGATTTCTCATTTTGTTGCAATTTGATTACCGTAGGTATCAGCTCATGCTAAACTGCTGGAGTGAGTTTGCCGACAAAAGACCAACTTTTCCGGATCTTGTGGGAGAATTCGATCGTATGATAACGATGCTCTCAGACAAGGTAAACGTTATTGTTAGAAGGAAAAGGATTAGGGACTTTTTTATGCCTGAAGCTTTCGAGGAATTTTAACTCGAGTTGTCAAGCTGTCACACTTCTTCGACTTCTACATAGGCAGCATTTATACATCTTACCTACACTAGTTACTCTAAATCACAAAATATGTTCAGTGTTCTGTGGCATTTTATAAAGGTCAGTACACATCAGGAGACATATTGCGGGGTCATGTTACAGTGGACGTTTTCCTCGTGTAACATGCCCGATTTTTCAAGAAGAGTTCTTGTCCCCGCAACCTGTTGCATGCAACTCAGCTGGTTTGAATTCCTTGCGTCTTGAAGCAGGGACAATGTTAATGTGGCATCCTGTGCATTGCTCTTCAGTACAAACTGTCGCTGCTACAACATAGAAATGAACCAATATCCGCTTTGTGTGTACCTGCTCGCGTACTGACTGCACAGTCCCTATAACATGCTTCCTATGTGTACACACGAAGGGGCTTGTCTCCGCTTCATGTCACCGAAATATGTCCGTAGTGTGTGCCGACCTGGAAGCGGTGACAAAACTCTTCTCGCTACGTACAAAGGCACACTGGAGGAAAATTGTCTAACCCGCAATCAATTTCTCCCACCTGCTATAACAAGAAATTTATATTTCTACAAGGCACTACGGCTAATTTATAAAAGAGTATTAAAAACTATTGCCCCAAAATTGTGTGGCGTTATGGTTTAAAATACTCTTTTCCTTTGCGTAGGAATATCTTGACCTTCAGCCACCACTTGTGAGTCCACTGTCTGCAAGAACGCCTTCATCTTCCGAAGAAGACAACGTCTTCGGAAGTTCAGAAAACGTGTGTGATTTGTCGAAAAGTAGCAACAGTTTGAATTTTCACGACGGAGAAGTCTCCCAAGATGGCGCGCATGATGTGGGACATGTTGAAGATGGTGATGGCTACGCTGACATTCGCCGTCAGCCCGTCAATGAGCCACTTCTTGATTCCTGCGGAAGCAAAACGTCGTTAGCTTCTAAATCCTCACTTTTCGCCAAACGAAAACTCGACCAACTCAACGGGAGTATCGTCTCGCTTTCCTCACAACTAAGTAAACAATTTCGTGGGCTAGAAGACAACGAAGAGCACAACAAAGAAGAAAATGTCGGTCTTTTAGATGGGGAAGTCGATCAAGGAAGCGACGATGCTTTTGAAACTGGTGACATCAAAAATTCGAAAAGTTTACCGGAGCCATCACAAGGTGGTCGCGCCTCAGGAAGACCACAAGACAGCGGTGCCATGGAAACAAGTCTGGATTCCGGAGAAATTGATCCTGCTGTATTGATCGAGTACGCACGCCCAGAAAAGACAAATCCCACAAGAAGACCCTCCAAACAGAGCGATGTCTAACGTTGAAGCAATTAAAAAGAAACCTTGGAAACTACAGATAGATGTGTTTGAATGTGCGAGGTGACTGTTTCTTATCTTTGTCTTTAACGGAAATGCTCGTCACTGGAAAGTCCTCGCCTTAAATGGATTCTTGGCGACGTAGTAAAGAGCAGCAGAACATATCCGAGGAAAGAGAAAAAAGGATCAGAGCCATGCTGCCTCGCATCGAGACCTTACCGAGCTTTTGATGCTACCAAGTCTAGCTGCTCTTATATATTGGCACCTGCCTCCAAACAAACGGAACTTTCAGATACCGACAATTTTCGACTAGGAAATGTCAATTACACGAATGGAATGCATTCAATTACCAAGCATACACTTACCGTTAGCTTGTGACGTCACTTACATATGTATGGGTAAGCAAAATCGCACACCAACCTCGTTCTCAGGTTCTCTCTCCTCTGCTTCCCTTGGTCGTTGGAAGAAAGACCCTGGTTGCGGCTGGTCACGTGACCACCCAGAATCTGGGTGGTAAAAAAATGTGTTTGGTGGGAGGGGTGGCAGAGTGTTTTGATTGTTGCTGGGAAAAACTTTGTGGGTTTCAAAAACTCGAGCAGTCGCTAAAAACTACCCGCTTTATCGGGATTTAATGTGGAATTTTGCCGATGAAGAATGCTACATTATTCTGCCGTCTCCAAAATATGGAAGACTTTCGTTCACAACTAAGGAATTCGGCAGCCGAATGAAGCTCAAACTTTTCGACAGTTAGCACATTAAAACGTCAGGTACCGAATCGAAGTGAAACCAGTGGATTAGTCTCTTGAATCTTTGAATTCGGAGGTAATTTATTTTCATCGTGAGCAGCATTTTGGATGTTAAAAAGTATTTCTGTCCCACGGCCGATTAGCCAAGTATTCTGACTTGCATTTGATTGACAGCAATGTAAAATGATTTACAGTTTTGTTGACTTAAGCCTGCACTATACATGTAATACAGTTTTAAACAGTTTTACTTTTTAGTAATTCAACCGGCTGGAATTGAAATCAGAGTGATACTGGATTTATATAAATATATTTCGTCTGACCTGTGTGAAACTGTAAGACTGGAGAATTTCGAAGGCGTATTTGCCTGTGTGTGGTTTAATATAGAGATGACCAGCGATGACCAGCGATCGCCTTTCTTTCGCTTCAGTTGAGGTCTACAAAAATTATTCGTTAACTCTACCCCCGTGGAAAAGTTTGTGTCACAGGTGGTCACGTGACCAGCAGCAACCAGGGTCTTTCTTCCAACGACCAAGGGAGGCAGAGGAGAGAGAGCCTGGGAACGAGGTTAATCGCGCACATTTTCATTTTGTGCCGGACAAGCAAATATAGATCTTCTCAAAGAAGATGTAAAGACTAAGGTTGTAACGTTCCTTTACTCCCCGCTACTCTTTTCCTCCAAGGTTTATGCCAGTCCTTACGTATCGCAGATACTCAGGAAGTTACTCAGCCAAACAACTGTATTCGCCCTGTGAACCGTAGAGGAGCGAGGCGAACTAGAATTTAAGAGGGAGGACCTAGTTAAGGGTTCTTCTACCCTAAATATTGTAGTTAATAACAAAGTTGGCTGCCCTTTCTCTCTCTCAGCTTGGAAGTTGGGGAGGAAGATAAATATTTCCTAAGAAGGCATGAGATTTTTGTCGTAGACAGTAAGTGTGCAAGCCGTTTGCCAGACTGTTACAGGTTTTTGTTTGTTTTCCTAACGAACAACTTACCCCTTTTATAAAGGAATTTTTTATTTATTTCTTACTATTTTTAAATGGTAGAAAAACATTAGACTACGCCGAGAGTCTGATGAGATTTAACTGATTGCTGAGAATTGGTCAAAATTTTGACTGTCAGCTAAGAAATAATGGATGTTTTTTTATTTTTTTTCAACCGATAGCTGATATTTTTTTGTCTTATTATTTTACTTTTTTGATAGATGATATTTTACAGTGATAGCTGAGATCTGAGCTAGCACAATGTAGTGATAGCTGACTGAGAACGTGGTCTGACAATTTGATAACTGAGATTCCAGCTTCCCAATTACGCCCCGTCCACCCCACGCCGGAGAAATTTGAAAACGCAGCTTTATTTCTCCGGTTAGGCCTACCGTCCACACTAATCCGTCACGAAAACGGAGCTTTTCGAAAACGCTCTACAAACCGGAAGAATATGAAAACGCCGGATTTGCGTTTAGTGTGGACGGAAAACATTTTGAAAACGGAGCTTTTCGAAAACGATGACATTACGATATACATGTGATTTCCCCACCCGAGTCTTCCTCAAACACAAATCCAAAATGGCAAAGTGTGGACGAAAAACATTTGATGCGTTTTCAGGGTGAAAACGCCGTTTCAAACTTTTTCTGCGTAGAGTAGACGGGCCTTAACGAAATTAAATTGTAACTTTTGTTTTCAAATTCAAGTGAAGTCGTGCTTCACGATGAAGTCTATATAGGGCTAAAACAAGATCAATAGTATAACAAGGAAATATTTCATGAAGTGAATTTTGGTTGGAAGCGAGGGAAATTTACCACGAAACGAATGAAAATAATACAAAAATTTCCTGGCTTCCATCTCGAACCTTTGGGACAAATATTGTCCTCCTCTCAGTTGTACATTGTGAGTTAAAGAATCCGTACCTGTCCTGTTCACACCAAAATTCAAATCCCGTAATGGAAAGCTTGATTTTATCTTTAGCTCAACGTATTTAGTTAGTTCAAACTGGGAATGCGGTCGATGCAACCTCGCTTTAGCGAAAAATTTCTTCGGGAAATAAGTGTTAGTTTAGGTCTTAAGTACAGATCCCGTTTTCAAGAATGCGTCCGTGTTTACCAGCAGATAGGTTACTAAGCAACACTGTTAACCTAGTGGCACTTTCTGATTGGATAATACGAAAACTGTTCATATTCTTTGTTCTTGTGGGAGGATTTGAAGAAAAAGACAATGATTTCCCGAAATGTGTTCAGTAATGTTAATATGGTAATAGTCAAAATATCTTAAACCGCACGCCTCAACAGTAAAATTAATGCATGCGTTTTAAAACTCTCAAAGAGTATAAATGTCTGATTAAAAGGTCACGGAATAATTGTTTTCGTTGTGTTAAAATTGCCTTAAACAATCAAGTGAATGAGTGTAATACATTTTGTGCCCAGAGCAACTCCAATTTCTTAACCGATGGGGCTTAGACGCAAGTTGCGCTAAGCTGGAGTTTCGCCAGGAGCCTTTTATGGGCTCCTGGTTTCGCGTATAACCGCGTGGGTTCGCGCGGCACAGCAGCGAGGGAGCATCGAGGGGATGGATGAAGGGATAGGGTTACTGCGAAACCAGAAGCCATAATCGGGGACAGAGACCGTAAGCGCGCGCCATTTCTAGTATTGGGACTGTCCCCATGATATGGGACAATTTTTCTATTTTTAGAACAAATTTTGCCATCGCATGCGGCACACGCGCGTTCATGCTGCAAGGATTTTTGCTGATGTCGCGCGGGGAAAATATCGTCCGAAATTCCCGAAATGTTTAATGCTTTTGGCCCACAACTCAATACGTTCATGTCTGTTGGAATTTTTACTTCAGTATTTTCGTCCTAAGCTGCTCCAGTTTGAGTGAAGTAAGACAGTGTCTAGTTTAATTATGTCCCGCTTTTTATCACTGACCAAGTTGTGTTCCGCTGCTTCAGGTTTTTACAAGAGCTCCACTCTAAGTTTCACATATGTTGAAGATTAACAGCTTTTCCATAATACAGCAAAAAATCTAGCTGGATATATTTGGACATAGCAGCGTTTCAGGACTTCAAAGTTTCCCTCCGCTTGCCACACGCCTGCGAGGATTTCGCCAGAGTCTATCTCGACCGAAGAGTAAAAAAAAAAATTACAAGTTTGAGTTTCGCCTGAATTGTAAGCAACGCTTGATGTTTTATCAAGGCCCAATAAGTGATAATAAAGTTTATGTCTGTAGATGCAGCTCAATTTTGTTTGTGTAGAAATCCAATAAATTGTTTGTTGTCGATGAATAAGAACGTCCACCGATGCGTGTTTTGTACAGTCAGTAAAACATGACAAATTGGACTTCCGCACTTTCGCCTGGAAACGTACATCGAACTCATATAATATCTCTAGTTTTAAATATGTTTAAGGTTGATAAATGTTTGAGAACATGTTAAACGCTTAGCTGAAAATATGTGAATACAGCAGAAATAATCGCCAAAGTTAGGATGACGCTTTCTTTAATCAACTCGAATAACGATTTTGACTTTGTTGGTTGAGTTATCAAAACTCCTTGTCTGTTTTATTTTCCCAGTGTAAAATTTCACTATGTTAAAGAAACACACATGATATTAGCAGCCTTTTGGCGTTGGTGAAAATTGTTGCAACATCTCAGCACAAAACACAACGAAAGAAATTTTTGTCAAGATTTGTTGACAATTGAAAACACCGACCTCGGACTTGAAAGTGCATGCGCTGCACTATGCAAATGAGCTACCTGTACGCCTCAGACTTTCCTTTCAAAAACTTTTGCAAACTCGCCAAACAAACAGAAACAATAAAATCAAGCGTTGTTTGGGAAACTCTCAAATTAACTCGATACCAGAGTAAAGAGTTTTCTTACATAACTTTTCTTTACAGAACAAACGCAAACTCTTACTCACGGTACATCTAGCGCGAGCATATATTATTCATTCACAGCGCGAAATTGAAGTCTTGTTTTCGACCCTGAAAAACTCACCTTTTCCATTAGTTCAGAGCATAAAACTACACGTAAGAGCCCTGGTTCTTATTCCCTGTCTTATTCCCCGCCATCGCTGTGAAAAATCTGCAAGAGAATCTCGCAACTCTCACCATTTNAAATTGTCCCATATCACAGGTGCGCGCGGATCCCAAGACTTACGGTCTCCGTCCCCGATTATGGCTCCTGTGCGAAACTTAATTTCTTGAGAAAACTACCTTTGTGTCCAGTAACTAATTTCATTCCAAATCTCTCCTTTTTTCTGAATTCCCAATTCCCTCCATGCGATACGCCTGCAGGGAATCATGGTAGTTGTATTCACCGGATATTTGTTTTGATGAATACACCCTGCAGGCGCGTCTCATACAGGGAATTGGCCACTTCTCTCTTAAATGTAAGTCTGTCAATCTTGTTAATTCCATCCTCCGAAAAGTACAAATTTTCAGTTAAAAACAGGTCACGTGATCCCTAAGCGCAAAGGGTATATTCCACGTGATGGATTATCATTGAGAGGTGAAAGAAGGCAGAAGTGAACTAATTAAACAAAGCTGCATTAGGGAGGTTGGATTTTCCAAACGTTCACTGCAGTAACTTGTACCTTTCGCGAAAATCATGGACAATAAAACTACACAATTTCTCAGCAAAGCATTTTTATTTCTTAAAAAAACCTAATTCATTCAAAACAAGTCTAAATAAATAGCAGCTCGGTAATATATAAATATGTAAAATACTATCGACCTCAGCAAATAAATGTATTGCAACCAAAATACATCATGTAGTTTTTCCACAAAACATTACATTTTATATTCAATATGAATAATCGGTAACCTTAGTATAATAATTCTACTATAAATATATTGGAAGAAAATGCTTGTTCGCCATACATGCAATCTGTCTTATATTTCATAAAATTCTCCGCTGCTAGTTAGGTATGGGCATGATCGTCGCTGGGTAGACTTCTTAAATTGTGCAGGAGTGTCTGATTTCAACTTGCGTGTTGAAGCACGACTGTGGGGTGTCTTTTATGTCATAAACAACCTGGTCTAAGTAGTCCAGTAGCACAAAGTTACGTAGCTGAACTGCTTTACGAGCGCTGATACCTCTCGCACTCTGAAACAAACACGTGAACAAGGAGTTAGATCTGGGCTGACCAAAGCAAACGTTTATTTCAATTTGAAATTTTCTATTGCATTGCAATAGTAGAACAGCTTTCAACTGAGTGTCGTAAAACCAGTACCAAAATAATCACTGACTAATCACAAATTACACAGACAATCCAGACAATCCGATCTCAATCCAAATCTCAACACAAAGGCGAACGAGTCGCGATTGGTTTTGGTTTTACTCAGTCTGATTAAGTGACAACGTGCCAATCGCCTAGTTCTAACGAGGTAATGTAAACCGAAAGAAAATGCAAATTACCTAGGGAACTCACGTGAAAACGGCGCTATTAATTAACTCAAACTGTAAGCATAAAGTATGTCGTTAGAACATGGTAACAATAAACTTACTTTCTGATGAGCAGCCAGAGATGTCATGACGGTCATATTCACTGGCAAAGATGCTGTGATATTTTTACCACGTGTGTGAAGGGCCTGTATTGAGAAACGATAATACCGTAGATCAGGAGGAGTTAGGACGCAAAATACATCTTACTGTATTTCGTAATTGTATATTCTTCACTTGAAAAGGTAGTATTCCTAACTGGGCTTATCCAGCTATTTGACGGCATGTGGCCGCGCACTGACTAATGAAATAATCGAATCAGTAACCCCTGATGAATTAGAGCACGACATGATTCAGATAAACGGAAGCAGAACAAGCGTTTTGGGAGAAACTATAGCACTTTCTGCGTCAGGGAGAGACAGTAAATGGAGAGACATCAAATTTGATTTTGTGACAGAATATCAAAGAATCAAAATTGATATTTTTGTGAAATTCTGATGTTTTAGTCATTACTGCTCTTCTTTCTTTTCCTATTACAACATAATAAAGCAAGTTTGTAGCAATTTCTCGGTCATACTTATAAAAAATACGATATATACCACCCAAGAAAATGCTCTACCTCGGCAGCGTGGAGAGTTTGTTTTATAACATTCGGCTCAGGAGAATCACATCATAACACTTACATAGTTGTCGATGTCTTTGATTCTATTTTCCAAATTCTGAAGCAATCCATTGAGTGTCTTCTTCAATGTGTGGCCAGAGATACTGCAGTGAAATTTTGACCGCTTTTCGCTCTCCACGACAACTTTCAATGGCTCCACAAAGTTCTTCAGTGCTGTTATGCACTGAACAGCACGCTGGCTAGTACTCTAGTGATAAATATAGGTAAATTGCATTAGTACACCTAACACCCAGTGAACAAGTCTTTTATTTCGCAACACTGGAAGCAGTATTTTCAGTCGTTAAAGCTTTTTAAACGTTTTGTATTTGCTCAGGTTTTCAGTGGCAGTATTGACTACCGACAAACTTATGGTTAATAGAGGTGAATGGTTATAAAAACCTGTTGTTTTTGTTCGCTTTTTCAGCCCACGTGCACAAAGCAACGTTTCGGTACCGTAGTATTATGCATAGTGTATGAGCGTAAAACAAGAGATTCGGCATGGTCGTGGACCTTCCGACATAAATCTTGGCACCTTTGTTTGCTCCTTTGACGTTTGCCAGGCTTCATAACCATTCCCCTCTATTATCTATGACAAACCTAAACCTGAACGTTTTAGCCAGTCAAACTGGACAAAAATGAAAGCAACTACGATTCTTCATTCTTTTCATCCCTGAATGATTTGAAGCAAATAAATAAACATACACATCATGATTTTGTTTGGTTCTGTGAATGAAGGCTTTCTCGTTAGCTACCATTCAAAAAAATAGTGAACAGCACTGTCATGTGGTATAGGGGAACCTTTGTTTAAAATATGTGCCTCATTAGCATAAGATATTCAGTTTCTCATCAAGTTACCTTATCCGGCCACTCGCTGTAGTCGCTTGGAACAAGTTGTCCTAACGCACGCCCAAGGGGACCTCCTCGGTGAGAATTACTAAATCCATGAGCTTTTTTCTATGAGAGAGAAAACAACTTTCTTAATGACAACAACAATATCAATAAATCATCAAAAGATAACATGATATTTTTTTCAGTGTCATAGACACTAGGTGGAATTACTCATTAGGTAATTCAGGATGGCACACTAATAACCGCACGTATATCGCACGTTTTGAGACATTTTACTACTCATAAATCTTTCTTAATAATGAAGGCGAGAGGTAGTATAATCAGGCAGAAGTGAATACTGTGTGCTTAACAATTTGTAATGTAGCATTGAAATGACCTTAACCGGCAAAATTCGTTAAAAAGTTCCCTTTGT